GCAACCATTTGCATTTATATATATATGGGCCATTTTGTAATTAGTTGTTTTTCACTTTTATGCCCCAATAAAATCTTATTTTAATAGGAGCCAAAGTATTTATTATTTTACCCTTTGAATAATCAATATTATTCAAGGGCTCATGTAAACTAAACTAGTTTACATTAACAACCCACAAGTTTACCCTTTTGCCCTTTAACTATTAAAAGGTTATTTTAGTTCATCTCATTTATCTTAACGCTTTAAGATATAATAATTAAATACAACTAATTATTGCTTGACCATTTTAACCCTTAAAATGTCACAAATAATTTTTTATGTAACTATTACCATAGAAATCTTGTCATTACCCTCAGAAGATGCTAGCCCTCTTCGGATAATCATTTCTCTCTCTTATTCTTCTCCAACTTCTCAAGGCTATTGGTGTGACCATGTAGGTCCACTGTTGATTAGCCGTGAGTCAGTTCTGGATGAATTCGGAAACCTGTTCGGAGACCCAACGACTATGATGAACATTTAGCAATGTGCCATAGTCCCTAAACCACGATGAAGAAATACTTCATCGAACCCATTTCAGATCATATGTACCATGTAGGTAAAGTCCTTTCATTGATATATCCCGATCGAGTACGGATTTATGGAACGTCAAAATCCTAAACTCGATCTTCTACCGAATCGTCGATCAATATATCTGGAACTCGTCATCACGAACTTGCTTTCATATGACTAATAATAGACTCTGGCCAGAGATTCTGATTTTCGACATTTATCAATGTTCATCCAAGAACTCAAATCCGGATGGAGTCAGTGGTACTCCTGATCCTATATTTTCGAGTCAATGGATCCCTTTTTGACCATCGTTCGTTTTCACATATGAACAACACATGACCAAATAGGCTTTATCATACAAAACATGACTAGTCTCGTACTTATACACCGTATGAACCATACACATCCGTATAAGATCCGACCACAATGTCTCAGGTCAAAGGACTACATTGTGCACTGATATAACCAAACGATAAATCATTGACTACATACTTTTCCAAGTGATTTGTCGTTATTCGGTCACGTTCGAAAAACAGTTCACCAACCGCTAATCCATACTAATGCCCTAGTGACATGACTATCATCGTCATCCATATTTATATCAACTCATGATATCTTTTGAAAGTATCCAGTATGCCTACTATGCAATATAATTGCCCAAATTATATTGCTTCCGTAGGGAACCCTTTTGATAATTCATTTACCGATTAAAAGAATCATCTGGACAATTCATATACATACTTTATTTTAAATGCATGACTAAATAAAGGAAGCAATTTATATGTATGAATTGAAGAACTATTTCTTCTATTATTTATGATATATATTGATACAAGACAAAATGCTTTGAAACCGACAACACGAATGGTTTCTACGGCATACACTAATATACACTAACACCGCAGATCCTGGAGATGGAGGCTAGTGATCGTTTTTTCTGCTTTTTCTTTTGGCTCTTTCCTTTTGGCTGCCCACTATACTTTTGTAAATTACATATATAAAAAGAGTTGTTTTGTTTAGACTTCAACAATTTCGAGTACTTTACAAAACTAATATCACATCTCATCAAGAAACTTGTAAAAATATTACAATGAACAAGATCATGTAAGATATTTATTCAGGGTGAAGAAGAGCGATCTCATTCATAAAGGTTACAAGGAAAACTTTACAAGTAAAAGAGATGGAAAACTGAGAGTGAGCTCGGAATTACTGATAATAGGGGCAAAAATGTTCGGCATTCCAAGCTTACAGTACCTCAGAATCGTTAAGCCTCTTGAGGTGATACGTTCCTGGTTGTATCCTTTTTACGATGCGGTATGGACCTTCCTAGTTGGGTCCTAATACCCTCGCGCTTAGTTCCCTTGTACCGAGAAGGACTTCTTTCAGAACCAAGTCGCGGACATGGAAGTTTCTTCTTCTAACCTTGGAGTTAAAGAACCTTTTTGCACGTTACTGGTAAGATTCTATTCTTAACTGAGCCTTGTCACGATGTTCCTCGACTAGGTCCAAGCTTGCACGTAGAAGTGCTTCGTTGTCTGTTTCATTGAACAAGTCTCTCTAAAGCGAACTGGTCCCCACTTCCACCAGGATCATTGCCTAGCAGCCGTATGCTAGCAAAAAGGGTGTTTCCGAAGTGGAGGTTCTCGGAGTCATTCTGTATGCCCATAGAACTTCAGGGAGGTCATCGACCCAATTACCTTTGGTAGCGCCCAAGCTTGGCCTTCAAAGTGTGTTTGATGGTTTTGTTGACAACTTCAACCTGACCATTGGCTTGCGGTATTGCGACTGAGGCAAACTTTTTGTGGATCCCCAGTTTGTCACAAAACTGCTTGAATTCCTCGTTGTCAAACTGCTTGCCGTTATTATAGATGAGGGTATGAGGAATCCCGTAGTGGCACACTATGTTCTTGAAGACGAACTCTTTGAGCTTTTTAGTAGTGATCGCGACCAAGGGCTCGGCTTCGACCCATTTTGTCAAATAATCTACCGCGACCACAACATACTTGACACCCCCCTTCCCGGTGGGCAGAGGCCCAATAAGGTCAATTCCCCACATAGAGAATGACTAGAGACTGGTAATTATAGTCAGCTGGTGAGAAGGAGCTCGCGGGACGTTCGTGAACCGCTGACACTTGTCACACTTTTTTTACAAAGTTGAAAGTGTCTTCCTAAAGCAGGGGCCAATAGTATCCTTGGCGGATAATCTTATTGGCGAGGGATCGAGCGGTAGTGTGATTACCATAGATCCCTTCATGTATCTCCCTCATAATATAATCTGCTTCCTCGTCAGTTACACATTGGAGGAGAGGGGCCCTAAACCCTCGCTTGTACAACTGATCCCCGACGAGTGTGTAACGAGTAGCTCTGGTGTGTAAGATTTTTGCCTCAGTCTTGTCACTGGGCAGGGTCCCATCTTGGAGATACTGAATGATTGGGGTCATCCAAGAGACTGATTTTGTTGTGGCTACTGTTGGCTCAAGTGAGCTAATGCTAGGAATCTCTATGTACCGAACTGGAATATTGTCCGGCACATCCGAGTCTAGTGATGAGGCTATCTTTGCCAAGGCGTCCACGACAGAGTTACTATCTCTCGGGATTTGCGTGACCATGAAGTGCTTGAAAGGCTCGAGTCTGGCGCTTTCCATTGGTTGTCTGTACGAGAGATATCCTTAAATCGCGTAGGGCTTCAGCAGGTGAACAATTTCTAGCCACTCATAAGTCTGGTGTTCACCTGCCTCACTGGAGATGACCTTACCCCTCTCGTCCTTGCGGGATGTGGCTGCATCCTGACGGCAGAAAACCTTCCTGAATTCTGATTGGCTTCTGCTGATTTAAGCTTACGTCAGCCCTGGTTTTTGGGCATAACAACAAGGAATAAGGATATAATTCATACAGGGATTAGGAAGGTATTTTCTATTAGGAATTGTATATCTCTATTAGTCTATAAATATAGGAGATTGAGAATATAGTTAGTTCATGGGAGAGAGAATTATGTGAAGGCAAATCACAGAGTAGGTCTTTAGAGACTGCTACAAGGTATTGAGATATTGTTACTCCTTTAGGGTATTCATATTATGTGTTTTATTATTTCCTGTATCTTTGTGATAATAATATATTCTTCTCTCCTATGTAGATATAGACTTTATGCAGAACCATGTTAACTATAGTGTCTTTTGTGTAATTGATGATTTATTTCACATATTTTTAATCTTTATATTTAATAAGCTTTCGCNTGTTTTTGGGCATAACAACAAGGAATAAGGATATAATTCATACAGGGATTAGGAAGGTATTTTCTATTAGGAATTGTATATCTCTATTAGTCTATAAATATAGGAGATTGAGAATATAGTTAGTTCATGGGAGAGAGAATTATGCGAAGGCAAATTACAGAGTCTAGTCTTTAGAGACTGCTACAAGGTATTGAGATATTGTTACTCCTTTAGGGTATTCATATTATGTGTTTTATTATTTCCTGTATCTTTGTGATAATAATATATTCTTCTCTCCTATGTAGATATAGACTTTATGCAGAACCATGTTAACTATAGTGTCTTTTGTGTAATTGATGATTTATTTCACATATTTTTAATCTTTATATTTAATAAGCTTTCGCGAATTCAAAACAAAAGTGAATTACAGCTTGTCACGAAGAAACAAAAAAAAAAATTAAAAAAAAAAAAGAAAAGAAATTGTGATGGAGTTTTCCCTTGTAGGCTGTAGCCATGTGTGTGTTTCTACTTTCTAGGTGGTAGGTTATGGCTGCTTATATATATAATTGAAAATAAAATCAATCTATAAAGTCATTTTGATACCTAGCTAGATGGTATATGTTGCAGCTTATCCTTTTTATTTTCTATTTTAAATTGTAAAGTTGGTCTCCAATGACAACTTATTGCATCTTTACATAAACTTTTAGCTGGAATATATTAACTTTTTCTCATCAACTTGCATTAGCAACTCTAAATTACTATTCTTTAAATTTCTTTGATTCCTAACCTTGATAGGAGAAAAGCTTTTTTGATAATGTGGTTTGAGTTAAATAATATCACGCGTTGTTTATTATATGTTAAATTTTCTTTTTCATCAAATTGTCGTTGTGATTCATCATTAATTATCATGTATAATGTATACCACTAAAACGAGATAGTGAGACAGCCTTGTGTAAGTATTATAAATTCATTAAATATTTAAAAATGCATTATGATGGTTTCATTAAAAAATATAAAGTATTTGGAGTTTTTTATTCAATTTGATTTTTTTAAAGTTTTATTAGTATTTAAATTGACACCATCAAATTTAAGAATGAATTTTCAAATATTTCTAATTAACAAATGTTTCTTAGCGTGTGGAATTAAAAGAGATCAATTAATTGTGCAGGACATTATGTGCATACTTATCATTGACTAATATAAAGATAAGATAAAGAAATTAAAGCACAAAGCAGCATGTAAACCACACTTAATTAGCCAATTTATTTCATTATCGAAATCTCACAACTTTTGTCAAACACAAACTCTCTGCGATCAAAGAAAGAAAACTTTATTTATTCATAATTTCTTCCTCCATTAATTATTTAGAAGGAGCTGACCAAGTCATCACCACTAGACAAACTTGAAATCCCATTAACCCTGCTGCAATTCAATCTGATTTCTCCTTCACTCCCTGTCAAAACACTTAGATTTCCCATCCTGATCATTGACACCACAAATCTTTCAAAGAAAGCCGTTTGGTTAGAGCCGTAAAGGTTAACAATGTCGACGGTATCGGCACCGGCTGTTGAGAACAACTCTTGATCGGTCTGAAGAAGGCCTTTGTTCTCTTGAAGATTGGTGAAGTAATTGTTGTCAAAAGTATCAGGTGTTGAGACATCAAGATTCGTCAAAACGCTGCCGTTTCCTCCTTGTGGGCATAGAGCTTGGAGCGCTTGTAGGAAGGTTGTGTCTAGGGTTGGATCAGGTTGGTTTGTCCCGTTGAAATTGTATAATCGTTGAATGAAAAATTGACACTGTGACCTTCCAAATGTGTGACCACCTGATAAAGAAATTTGCATACAAGTAAATCAAATAACGGAAAATTCTACGTTTGCTGGAGATACAGACTAATTAAAAAGACGTTGTCGTATTAGTTCTCGTAATTAATTACCCGATAGGGAAACCAAATCTGTGTCACCGTTGAGGCCAACGTTAATGAACTTCTGTTTGAGTTGTTCTAGGGTTAATGTTGGTGCTGGAAGATTTTCATTAGCAAGAGTTATGTTAGCTGTTGTACTGTCTCTTCTTCCCAATAGATTTGTCCATGAAGGACCTCCTGACTGTGATCACCATTCAATTCATTACGTAAAAATCAGTGAAATGAGATCAAAACGGACAATATCTTTTTATGAGCACGATAATAATTAAAAATGTTACCAAGGCAACAGATTGCTCAGCAGCAATGGTGAGAATATCAGCACAGGAAACAATTCCGGGACAGGCGGTCTCCAATGCGGCCTTCATTTGATCAACAACATTAAAGCCTCTGGCTGAGTTATTGTTTCCCAAAGCTCCTTTCTCGCTGACTATTGTATCGGTAGAATCCAGCAAAATCGATGCATCACAACCCTGGAATAATTGTTAATATTGGCAATATGTTAAGAGACATAGCAAGAATTTCATTGTTTTGGTTCCCCCAAAAAAAATAAAAAAATAATAATAATAAAATGAAAACAATTAAGCACAAAATATTATTCTTATTGTCAGCTTATAAATGAAATAATAACGATGATTAGATGCTAGAGTATTAATTATTTTTCTTTCGCTTTAAACTGCCTAAATCTTTTTTTTTTTTTTTTTTTAAGGAATAATCAATGTGGTTTAATTAATTAAAATATGATGTTTAATTAGATGGAAATATATATTTTTAAATATTGTAACAATTAATTCTTTAATCTTATGGGTACCTTTTCTAGCTTGTAAGACGACATGAGGTCTTGAATTATATGATTTTATTTTGAAATTCAAATACTTCACTACTTTGTAAAAGTAATTGTATTGTTATTATAAAAATCTTACGTGAGACATATTTATTATATTAAATCTGGTCTTTGTATCTCATTTATATTAAATCTATATGAGCACCCATCCGATAGAAGTATCATATATTCATTTATTTTGAAGTTAATTAATTTTAATAAGGATCGATAGATGAAGAAAATAAATAAATCACACGAAAATACACCCATTTTACACATATATTTTATGAAGTGGGTCAAATAGGGGCCTCTTTTTTGCTAAAGAAGAGAGGAAAATAATGAACTGTAATATAGATTACCTGAACAAAACAGTCATGGAAATGAAGCCTAATGAGGCTGGCACCAATTCGGGGATCAGACTGAAAAGCTTGCACAAGAACTCCTTGAATAATGCTCGATGCATTGGGGCATGTTTCGTCGTAAAAGTTTGAACTCAGCTGAGCCTGAGTCACTGATCCTTGAAGCACAAACGCACAGAATATAGCTGCTAGCAGATAGCGAGAAGAAGACATTTTCTTCAACAAAATATTGAAAAAGATAAAACAGATTGGGAAGTTAATTGTTGGGGATTGATCTCTAATGCCCCTCTTTATTTATAATCAAACAAAAGCAATAAACATGTCAAACAGGAGTCGCACATGCAATATTCAAGAAATTCAAAAAGTCTTTTGTTGATTTCGAAAAAGCTTCATTATCTTATGTGACAATACAAGCTAATTAATTGATTAATTAAGGTGGTTTTAGAACTCTTGGAGGTCTATTTTCATTCATAATTTTCTTTTTTAACTTAATTTTTCTTAATTTTTATATTTTGATATTCTAAAAATTTCCTATTATGTTTTGTATATTCGAGCTCGAACAAAAAATTCCTTTACCTCGCTTTGTAAACTTGAGTTCTAAGTTAGAGTCTCCGTTAAACCTTATAATTAATCTTTAAGAAACACCGAACAATAACTTTAAATACATATACAATATCATAACTTTAAAAAATTCTTAGTTTTCTATAATTCTCTCAAAGAAATGATTAGATTTTATCATAATTTTAATCAATTAAGTCTTAATCATTTGATTTCGTGTTGGAATTACTAGTAAAAAGTCTTTAACTTTTAAAAATTAGGTACGAAAAGAAATTTATATAGATGTAAATAGGCCCCTCTAATCCTTCTAGAGCACATATTAATATCATAGGAAAGACATAATAGATACATTATTGGTTTTATATGTACCGTTTAGAGTACTCATTAATTAATCAAAGAGAAAGCAGTATCATAGAAAATTATTGTGCAAACAGTGTCAAAAATGGTATATAATGTCGGCTGGTTGAAATTTTCAATGGGTTTGGTCAGAAATGGCTTCTTTTGCTGGAAGAGAATCCAAATTGGCTATCATTTTCAGCCAGTAATGGTGAACATCTGGCGATATTTAAAGCCTTTCATTTCAAGCTTTTGGACATTTATAGCGCATTGAGTTTTTAACTTTTTTTTTTGTCATTTTCGATATAAATGTTTTGCAGAAGTATGGATGCCACACGTACGCCACATATATAATCTTATCTTCTGAGAGGCAAACAGTTAGAATTTGTATTTGACTTTTGAGGCGGTGAAAATGGCTCTTTTAACAACCTAAGTTGGTTTCCATGAGTTTGATATTTAATAAATTTTATAAATTAATTATAGTGTTTATAAGCTAATTCGGTTACTAGAAAAAAATGACTCCTTTAATTTAGTAATTAAGGCTTTTCTAAGATTTTTGATATGATTAAAATCTAATTGATTCTTGATCAAGACTTTATTTGTTTAAGTTCCTAAATTTCCAAACCATGCGTCTTGGTGGGGTGGTTCTGGTTCGCGACTGCTATATTAGAATTCTATAATCATGAAATTCTCTCACAAGTCAATAGTGCAAAACTACGTGTTTTTAGAACATAAAAATTGGCAAAAATAATGGACCTCACGTGGTCCAAAACATGTGACTCTTTAAGTACTAAAAACAGTGTGAACACAAATGATAGAAATGTTGACTTGGTGGCAAGTCATTTTTCACTACACCAATTTTTATGGTACATTCAATATTTCAATGCATATACTAACCCACAAAAAGTAGGTTATTTCTTCCATTTGAAACTTTATATTATCGTGTGAAATATGAATCTAATTAAGGTCTTTCTTTTTTAAAGTGTGTAATGTTCTTCTACCAAATGAATATGAAAGTTTATCTATATTAATTGCGGATAATATTTTCTTATCTATAATGTAAAAGAAGAATTAATTTACTTGAACATCCTTTTCCATTTCTATCAAATTAATAGTATATTTAGTTTAAATTTTTGTTACTTATTTCAAACGCATAAAAAATGTAGACCAAGTTCTATCACTCGAAGAAAAACCGAAGGCTGTGATTAGTTAATTACTTTAATTAATTAAAATCCATAGAAAATGGTGTCATGAGATGAAACTAATTAATCCTAAAGCCAGGTGATTAACTTTATTTGACTTTACAAAAGACACTTTATCACCAACCAAGAAGAAAAGATGATCAACTCACTAAAGTAAGTGACTGATTAATGAGTAAAACCAAAGTAACTAGCTAATGGGAAGCCTACGTGTTTGAAATAAAGACATTTAGGCATCAGTTAGGCACATCCAGTGGCCAAAAAATCCAACAATTAAACAAGATTCTCCAATTTAATAGTCAACTGGAAAGTCGAAACTACTATTTTAGCACTTAGAAAGAATCAAATAGATCACATGCATGCACCGATTGATCTAAGATTGATGCATTCACTAGTATTTTTTAATTCCCAACTTCAACTTTTTGCATTTTCTCATTTAGAGGGTATTTGTCTGAGTTTATGAAAATTAGCTTATAAGAAACAATTGCTTATAAGCTAAAGCATTTGAAATTTTAAACAATTACGTGTTTGGTTAAAGTACTTATAAGTGACTGATAAGTAGTTGACGTATTTGGTAAAATGTGGCTTATAAGTACATTTTATTATAAAATGATTAAAAAATGTATTACATTAAATAAGGGTATACTATGGAATTTTAAAATTAAACAAAGATAATGTGGTAATATACTTGGTCAAACTAACTTATAAGCAGAGTGCTTATAAGAAAAAAAAAAAACCCCTAACTTGTTTTTTTTGGCTTATAAGCTCAACTTATAAACTAAAAAAAGTTATAAACAAACAGGTCAACTTAATTTTAGAGCTTATAAACTAGTTTGACCAATTTATAAGTTTAGACAAACACTTCCTTAATCAGCATAAATATGCACTTGTGAAAGTTTATACGCTTTCACAAGTTGATCTAAGATTCATGCATTCACCAATATTTTTTAATTCCCAACTTCAACTTTTTGCATTTTCTAACTTAATCAGCATAAATACGCACTTGTGAAAGTTTATATGCTTTGTCGGGTATGGTAACTTAATCGAATATATTATTTTAATGTATGTTGAGTAATTAGTATGACTACGAGGATATGATCCTAAATAACTACAATTAATATAATATAACCAAGATCCTGAAAGGTTTTTTATTATAAATTTTTAATGTTTTAAATTAGTTGATTACTGATGTGTTAAAGTTATCATTTCACATAAAAAATTTAAACTCGTAGATGAGGGTTCAAAATTATATAAAAAAAATTAACAAAATAAATAAAATATGAAACTCTAAGTTACATTAATTCCATGGAATAATACTTCTTCACATTTTAGAAACTTTTCTTATTGTGGTATTACATGAATGACTAATGACTTCAAACTAACTTAATTACAGTAAAACCCCTCTATAGTCATCATGGTAGGATTAACTAATTTTATTATTACGGGGAGGTTATAACTTAATGGAGTTATAGTTATAAAAATTATTGTTTTGACTTCTTATTTTATAATTCACATTTTAGTAGTACAGTATTAGGATTTCAATTCATATTTGAGTAGTATTAGGATTTCAATTCAACACTTTAATTGCCTACTTTTGAAACAGATAGAAGATTGTGTCTTAGAACCAGTAAAGATAAGTGTTATTAATGGAACTGTAAATGCAATGATGCATAATCAATTGATATGAAGTCACATATAATTGTCAATGGTTTTAAGCACTGCAAAATTAGGACTCTTAACGTCGATGAATTGCAAGTTACAAATGAAGTGGATTGGTAGAATAAAAGAGCCATTGCAAAATTTAGTGATTAGAGTTGGCAATTTCACTATACTAATTAAATGAATATTAATGTCTTCCTTAATCATCCAAATGAATAGCAAATTGTGTATGCTTTAACCAAAGAAGAAATCATTGTTGTAATTAGATAAGAAGAGAAAGGAAATAATACCGAGGATGATAGTACGAAAATACAAAAAGTTTTGCGTCATGAAGCTCCAAACATGCTTGAGAAACTAAAAATATTTTGACTTTAACAAGGAAGGTGTTCATGCTAGCGAGTTATTACGTACTTACAAGGTAAAAGATGTGGTAACAATTCTAAAGCATAAATCATTGTCCCAAAAAACTTTAGATAAATATTTTATTTCATCTTAAATTTTTAATGTAACATAACATATTTTTTTTTTTTTGTAATATACAAATAATTATTACTATGTAGAGACAATTTTCTTTAAGGCAGAAATTGGAAAAATTATAACTTATTACAATGTAGAAGTTTATTCTTGTTTATAACTATCCAAAATTAGGATTAAAATTTTTTGTAACTATGTAGAGTTTATTCCTATATAGAATATTACTATAGAGATATTTTACTATACCTCACAAATGCAAGAGAAAGAGCATAAATTTCACATAACATAATAATTAATTAATTAATCCTTTTGCAATTGATCCTAATCTCCCCTTTACTGCCTGTCAACAGATTTATATTTCCCATCTTGATCATGGACTCCCCAAAAGCATCAAAGAAGTTAGTTTGGCAACTGGCAAAACGGTTCACAATGGCTACAGTATCAGAGCCAAAAGTTGAGAATAAATCTTGATCCGTTTTGAGAAGACCGCGATTGTTTTGAAGATTAATAAAGTGGCTGTTGTCAAACTCATCAGGAGTTTTTACATCAAGATCATTTAAATTAGTAGGAGAACCACTAGGGCAATTTTGTTGAAGGGTTTGCAAAAATGTTGGATCAATGTTTGGGTTCGGGTTTGTTGCATCTAAACGTTGACTAAAAGAATCGCATTGAGCTCGCCCGATTGTATGTGCACTTGAGAGAAAGATTCAACATTAATATTTAAGTCTAATAAAGTTCATTGATAAGTTGAGTTTAAAGTCTAATGCATCTGATAAGAGACTAGTTTGAGAAGATGAGATCTTCGGTTATATCCAGGGACGGACCCATATTGGGGGCCTTGTGGGGATTGCTGCTCCCATTGAGCCTAATATAGTCTTTTTTTTTTTTTTTTTAATCTATTATGAAGTATTTTAACATGTATGATTTATGTTTAATCTTATGAAATTATTTAGGTTAACTAAAGTTACTTGTAAATGTAAATTAACAATTATAAAATATAAAATATTGATATCTCTTTTTCTTTTTTATTTTATACGTTTTTTTAAAGAATTTAAGCTTTAAATATAAAAGTAAATAACTTATAACATTTATACTATTAATCTTATTAGTTATTAAGAATATTAACACAAAATATAAACATTGTAAAGAGTAATTATCAAAATAAATATGTGTGTTCTTTATGCATATGTTATCGATATAAAGTTATAAAGAAATTATAATATTTTTAAAATAAAATATGCATACAATATATTAAAGTTAATCAAAATATGATTTTATTAATTTTCAGGTTGCCTCCACTCACAAAATTTTTGGGTTCGTCACTGGTTATACCATGTTAAATTATAATTGACCTAAAAACTTAAGTTGTTAGATAAGTGTCCAACGTTGATATTTAAGCGTAAAGGTTCTTAGTAATTATCGGATAAAGCGACCAGGTCAGTCGTGTCAAGTCCTTGATCTGTGAACTTCCGTGTAATATTAGCTAGATTTTCAGTGGGACCTGGAATGGCAGTAGTTCCAGCACTGTTTGCAGTTCTGCTATCTCTTCTTCCTAGTTGCACTTGCCATGATTGACCTCCATCCTGCAAATAAATTACAAAATTAGTATTCATTTTAAACATTCATGCTCATGCACAAGGTTAATTAATTACTCAGACAGCTAGCCAGAGGAAGAAGAAAAATGGAGTACCAAAACAACTAAAATTTCAGAGGCAAGAGCGAGGATATCGGCACAAGAGACAACTCCTGGGCAAACATTTTCAAGTGCAGTTTTAACATCATCAATCACTGCATAACCATCTGTTGATAGGTTTGGCCGTGCATTTTTCTCGCTAACTATTCTGTCTGCATAGTCTAACAAAAGCGAAGCGTCGCAGCCCTTCACATCAAAAACACCGAGCAAAATTATTCTGATTAGTAATATTGAACATGAACTTTATAAACTCTTTTGGTTGTTTCAGGTCGGTGAAAAACTTACATGAGACAGTTTTATCATATCATACTATTTGACGAAAAAATGTCTAATTAAATTTAGTTATTTGTCAAATAATTAATAGTGTTTATTTTTTATCAATAATGTGACCATGATCGATGACAGTTTAAAAAAAAAAAAAAAAAACTCATCAATCAAACTAATAAGAACAAAATCAAATGAAGGAAAAGATAATTACATCGACAAAGCAATCGTGAAAGTGAACTCGAATGATTTTGGCACCAATTCGGATATCCTTGTTTCTAGCCTGTTGAACCACACCACGAACAATGCTTGTCACATTGGGGCGTGAAGTAGCATAAAATGTGGGACTCAATTGAGCACAAGCTGCTCCAAACATCAAAGCGATTAAGAGAAAAAATGTTTTAATTGGAAACCGATACATTTTTTATTATATCTTGAAGAAAAATGTATTGAACTCAAGATTTTACTTGCTTTGTGAATGACTTAAGTCATATGTTGAGCTCTTTGTATAGAGATATAAATAAGAGTTGGAGGCTCAGTGGGGCTCAAGGCTGCCTGACCGGCAAGAAAATTCTTTGTTTACTTTTTCTTGGACAATGGATTTAATGCATCCGAATTTGTTTGAATTTCTCAATTCTGTGAAGCTATACCATGTCTATGGTGATCAATAAGGACTTTTTCCTAAAACAATTATTGTGTGTCCAAGACCTGGTTATCAATTAATTGATGATGGAACAATACACTCAATTAATTTTACCTTTACGTACGTACTTCATTTTGTTTATATCCATTTTTTATTGTTTTTTTTTTTTTTTTTTGGAAATGGTTTATATCCGAATTGGGTTAAAGAAAATTCAAAGTAACAATTATCCATGCTAGCTGGACTCTTTGTCCACTAGCAGTCAGTGGTAGCTGCCACAGTACTGGTAGGTGAAAATCCCGGCACTGTTGCTTACTATGGAATGAAAAAAATATCTTGCACCCTTTATCTGATAAATCTTATCATATTTTTTTTCTTTGCTGAATTACTAAATCTTATAAGACATGGTATGAATATATTGGTTTAATCTAAGACTTATTATTATTATTATTTTAGGTATTTGAGGTATCCAGACTTATATTGAAGTCTGTTTAATCTTTAAGACCAAATGTGATAAGTATCTCTCATATTACTCGAACACAAGACCCTTTCAATATAACTAATCCTGATGATTAAAGAGTTTGTCACCCGGCTACAGGAGGAGAGACATCTCAGGCTTATTTTACTTAAGTTTAGGATGTATTTTTCAAAAATACAAGAATAAGATATATTGGATAGACGAATTTGGATTGGATAAACATTTTAAGTTCGTATATAAGCAGTCAAATTCGGAGGCATCAATCTATGAATTTTATGAAAAATCCGATTAATGAGAAAAACATTTTTTGATAACCAATTTGTTCGACATACAGCTGCTATAAATAGTTGTTCTTTTGTTCCTTTCTCTTGACCAATTGATATTAGTAATTATCTCATCTCAATACAGCTCCCATGCAGATTTTTCTTCGTAATTAATTGAAGTGATTAGAAGGTATTTTATTTCCTTGAAATTAAGAAGACCCCATTAATTTATCATTAGTTAGTTGAATAATCAGTATTTAGTATCTTAGTAGATATTCAAAATTTATTCTTAAAAATCAAATTTATCTGGTTATACATTACTTCACATAAAATTTTGACTCAATGCTATTTTCTAATTGAATGTTAGTTAATTAATTCCATAGAAACCAAGAAAATGAAATGGATATATATGATATTATCGGTTAATCTTCTTCAGGTTCATAAATTAATAATTAAGTGGGGAGTGATTTTTAGCCCTATATCATATGGATCACTATCTCCATTGCAAAATACACCTTTATTATATTTTAAAAAATTCTCTTTAAACCCTATTTAATACCACAAAAAAAAAAAAGAAAAAAAAGTCCAGCTTGATTAAATTCAATTATGTTTTTATTTGCGCCCATTTCCCTCCAATTTCAAACTTACTGATTATACTAATATTCCCCAATTTCAAACTTAATTGATGTTTTTGTTTACACTTAACATCATTTTTTTCCCCAATTTCTTAATTAGTTGTGTGATTATATTCTGGTATCCTTTGATATTATTTTGTAGGGGAAGAATCGAAGAAAAAGTATGTACAAACTGAACACAGAGAGCTTCTTTGCTAGCAGAAAGCCTTTACTTCTTCCTCAAAACGCTGCTGTTCCTTTCTTTTTTAAACTAACAGACTTTTAACACTGTTAATTCTTTCCCTCTTCTTTCCTTTGATGTCGTAACTCCTCGGTTATCTTCTACATCTACAGTGGGTAAAAGAAATTTCAAAGTAACAATAATCCATACTAGCTGCCTAGCTGGACTCTTTGTCCACTAGTACTTGTCAATGGAATCTGCTACAATACTGGAATAAAAAAATTCCGGTACTATTGCTTACAATGATAAGTCCACTAAAAAATAGCTCTGGTGAGCCATAATTTACGCGATCCATCTAATAAATCTTATAGAGAGATTATTATAAATTATCCTTAAGGTTTTCAAATTTTTCATTCTTATTACAACTTTTGCACTTTTTATCAAATGAACCATGAAAGTTTGAAAATTGTATCATGGATACCCTTTTGCGTAATCAAACGGACCCTAAGTTTAAAACTTTATCATATATGCCATTTCCTTTGCCCTAATCCTGTCACATTGCCGTTACATTTGCAATCACTTTTTTATAAGGTCAAAGTTACCATCTTACCCTAACACTATCTTATAAAATCAAAGTTACCACTTTACTTATGTAATACAAATGATAATATAACGAAGTTAGACAAATGGGTATTCATAATACAATTTTGACATTTTGAGGGTCTATTTGATAGAAAGATTGAAAGTCATCATTCAAATGATAAATTTGGAAACCTTGAGAGCAGTCTAATGATAATCTCCCAAATCTTATAGCAGATATACTATTAAACTCAAGCTCAAGGGAGAGCCCAACCCAAAAAACTGACTTGATATGTGAGAGAGCCCTTACACTTAAGTATCACACTTGGTGGATATGATATCTTGATATGGGATCTAACATTACACCCCTTTTCAAGAGCCGACGTCTACGGCGGTTTTCACTCTATCAACACTAACCTAATGGTAGCACTTTCCCCCATTGGGCGGCTTTACTCACCTATTAGGTATTCGATATAGAAACCCCTCCCAAGGAGAGCACACTGCGCCTTAATCTAGTCTATAGGTAGGTCTTTCTACATTCCAACTCTCAACGAAAGCATCAATGTTAGAACTCAAGACCAAGGGAGAACCCAACCAAAAAAATCGACCTGATAAGTGAGAAAGCCTATAGCCTTAAGTACTACACTTGATGGGTGTGAGATCCTGATGTAGGATCCTAACATATACTTATTTTTTTTTCTTTTATTTACGTAATTACTAATTAATATATGACAATATTGGTAGTTTTTAAAATCATTTCATAAAATTTTAAAAGATATGTACTATAAGCAAATTGAAATTGTTGGGACGTAATATTATGTGTCGAGAAATGACAGAATTATAGTGGTGTCCTATCTAAAACCATTTTCAATTCAGTTAAAGAATTAGCTTCCAGAAATATGTTGATCAATTATAAATGCATATGGGTAGTCAAATTTCGGATTAGAGATCCATTTTACCAATTGAGAGTTGACATTCTTGTTTGAATATAGCTCCCATACATAAATTGTCTTCGGCAATGGAAATTGGACTAGTTAAGCTTCCTTATGGACACAAAAAATGTAGGGAAACTTCGTTACACACAGTGGTCGGAGCCAGGAAATATCATTTGGAGGGCCAAAGTCCCAAAAAAAGAATCGTTCTAATTCAACTTGTAATCTAGTAAATGATTTTCAAAATTATTAATAGCAAATCAACTGCTAAGAATCAAAGAATTACAAATGAATGTACAAAAAGAACTTAAATTGTGTGAACCAAAAATTAAATATTGTTATTACAAGAATTTCAATTCTTTATGAACACTCTAACATTAGTATTCTTGCAGAATTCATTGCCACAAGAACAGGAAGGCTAAATAGGAATGGCTTGATAGTAAAAGAGTAAAATGATCAAACTTAGGTTCTTGAGTTTGAATATCCTTAGGCACTAATAGGAGTAGCCATCGAGGGGATTTACTCAATCGTTCATTTCAGGACCCCAGTTGATTAGTTAAAGTGGCCGCAAACTAGCCTAAACACCTTCAGTCAAAAAAAAAAAAAAAAAAAAGGGCTAAATTATAAAAAAATTTATATAAGAAATTTCATTTGTAAGAGTTACAATATAATACTGAAGAATAGGAGTCAAATATATAATATAACATTTAAGTGATGGAATTTATATATAAAATGTTAGAACCTTTGACCCGCAAATAGCTAAAACCCTCGGTTATTAGATTTTACTCTTCCTTTGAAATTAATGAGACTCATCTAGTCATTTGTCATTATTCAGTTGAATAATTAATTACTTTGATAATAAGTAAAGAAATTGAAGTCTCCATTGGTTTGTTGATAAAATTGATATCTTTTAATTTCAAGATAGTGATTTATTTGATAACAATATTACATTAATTAATGGTAACCACCTTTGGGTGCTAAGGAACATTTAATAATGGTTTGAATTTATCAGTTTGGCGAAGCTAGCTATACCAAAAGTCTCTGTTATTGCATAATAGACCTTTTCAAAAAATTGAAAATGTGTTTGGAATATTGGAAAATGGAACATTATCAATTGATTTTCAACTCTATCTATACACTTCATTTTATATGTGTCCCACTTTAAGTGAATTCCTGTAATTATCCACGCTATATATACAAAGAGGACACTTGAAATTTAAATTAAGAATATATTAAGAATTAAACTAAGTATGTTTAGTTTTACTTTTAAAGTATTGTAAGTGCTATATCTATCTATATTGGTATTATGTAAATAGATGTGAGTGTTTCTTTAAGCGATATTCGGATTTAACTCTTAATATAAAGCAATATATTTTTCTGTTTATATATGAGAATATTAGGATTTAATATCTCTTATATAAAACAATATATTTGTCAATTTATATGTGAGAAGAAAATAACGTGACGATGAATCTTCTTCCACTCTCTTATGTTAGCTTGATTGCGTTAGTATTACCATATTCGTATTTATTAAATATCTAACATAATATTGATTAAAAGAAATAAACTATGTATATATTTATATATAAATTAATCAGACAGATTTACAACTAATATGTTACTTGATCAAATATAAAATTCTCTCAGGGTTGAGGATACGTTTTCTAGATAAAGAGTATGATTAAAGTGAAAATACATTATAAATGCATAATATTCAACTTTGGGGAGACCGAAGTTGATCTCCTGAAACTCTAATTAGTAAAACATTTATCTCTAATATGTAACTAATTAATTTTGCACCACAGCTTTTATACCTTCTGTTATGCCTGGGAACTCAGGGCTGACATGGCGCCCTGTTAAGTGTGCAAGGTCAGACCTCGGGAAGAGCCTACTGCCATCCTGACGCAGCTGCTTCGTGTAATCACGGTGGCACCCACAGCTTGCTTTCTTCAGAGTAATGGGTGCACGTTAGGTCAGCAAGGAGTTGTGATGATCCCGCGTGTCCAACCCCTGCGGCAAATCATGTGAATTGCTCCAAACGAAGGATTTGCGCGGATCACCCCACCAACTTTCAGATTCAGTGATGATTGCCTCAAGGCATCCCACTATAAAATGGGAGTTCCTCTCTCATTAAAGGGATTCGCACATTTTACTCTTGATAAGAACTCACTCTCTAGAAAAGACAGTCTTCAATACCTTGTATTATCAGTGTAAAGTCAGTCGTCTGAAGCGACCTAACCCTTATCATTAATAAAGACATCAGTGGACGTAGGATTTGCTTCCTTAGCATCCGAACCACTTTAAAACTCCTTTCTCACTACATTCACTCCCATTCTTCTAAAAACCTTTCACGTGTGTCTTTTGGGGCTAACCTAACATTTCACATGTGCTTTTAGTTGGTGTCAAAATCGTGCATCAACAGTTTGGCGCTAGAAGGAGGGCTGATTTAGTGTTCATCCTTCATCAGGAGAATCTCCAACCTATCGGTCCTACAGCAACAAATGGCCCGCCAACCAGAACCTGAGCAGACCAGCCAGGGCGCTGAGGGGCTCCCCTAAGTTCAAGGAGACACCTCTTCCAGAAAACCTTCAGCCCCGCAAAATGCTGCAGGAGATATCCCGTCAAGTTCACAGCTTGACCCTGCTATTAGAATCTACCTGGAAAGGTTTGACAATACTCTCCAGACGGTCAACCGAAGGTTAGACCGTTTGGACCAAGGCGTGCCATCCACATCAGCCGTGGCGGTGCAACCGCTAAAAACGATTGTAGGTCGCGTGAAAGCGTGTGAATGGGAAATAGCCCGTGCCGCGAGCACTACAGCGTATAGACGAAAGGGAAAACAAGTGGCAAAAAGTAAGCCCATGGGCTCCAAAGGGCCAGCGAACTCTGACCGCGTCCCGAGCAGAATATCGGTCTCGCTGAGACTCGGTGAAAAGACGCAACCTGAGCTGTCCCATGCCACATCGCAAAAGCACACCCATAAAAATGTTGATCGGGGCGATTCCTATCACCACCAGCAAAACAATTCTGATCGTTACCATGTGAGAAGGTCCCACACTTCGTGGGATGGTTCCTACCACCGTGAAGGTCGTGAAAATATCCCGCTCCCTTCATTGCTATCACACGCCTCCAGCCGACGTGTGTCGAGAGTGGCCGGAATAGCTGGCCGAGGCGAAGAGGAACTTGACCTTCGGACATTCCTCAACCGTAATCGCGAGGGTCGAACTCACATGGGTGAAAGCAATCCCCAAGCGGCTCTATTACAGCAAATTGAGGAGCTGCAGTGAGCTCTAGACAGACTGCGAGCTCAGCAAAACGAGTAGGGGCAGGTCATATCTGCGTTCCCCTTCTCTACCGAAGTGTTAGCAGCTCCACTCCCACCAGGATTTAGGATGCCCGACATGTGGGCGTTTGATGGGAACTCCAATCCGCAGGATCATTTGTATGAATTTAACGACCTGATGGAACTTCACCAGGTCTCAGATCTGGCCAAATGCCATTGTTTGGCAGTGACCTTGACCTCCCATGCCAAACGGTGGTTCAGGTCGCACCCAACAGGATCGATCAGTTCGTGGCCTCAGATGAGCGCAATGTTCCTGAGGCATTTTCAGGCAAATCGGAAGTTCTCAATGCTTTTGAGCTACCTTAGTAGTATAAGGCAAGAAAGGGATGAGTCCCTCCAGTCCTACATTGATCGTTTCGACAGAGAGCTCAACAAGGTGGCTCATACTCTTGAAGAGTCTGTTCGAACTCTCATCATAGTCGGGGTCCGTCCACAGACCGACTGTGGAAAGAATTACAGGCTAAGGACGATGTTTCCCTCACCGGATTCTATAATCTCGCGGAAAAGTACCTCCAAATAGAGAATTCAATGGCGGCACTCTGCCGTCCCAACCAAGGCACTTCGGGCAGCACACTTGGTTGGTAGGATAATAGAAGAGCTAATCGGAGTGGGGACGTGGACGATCACCAAAGAGGGAAGAAACCTCGTTACAAGCCCAAAAAGTCCTACGCCCCCGTCCCTCGTCGCGAACGCGACAAAAATCAATATACTCCGCTGAACGCATCTGTATCGGCTATTCTCGATAAATCTGAGGAGACCAGCCTGCTCGGAGAGCCCGAGCCTATGAAAACTCCAGCGACAACCAGAAATAATAAAAAATATTGTCGCTACCATCGGAACAATGGACATCATACCGATGAATGCCAAGCTCTTAAGCAGGCGATTGAAAACCTAATCAAGCAGGGACATTTCAAGAAGTACATTGATGACTCTATTCCCCTGCAAGAGAAAAATCAGGGAGAGTCAAGTAAGAAGCGCCGTGACCAGAAAGGTGTGTGCAACCTCAATTTAATTTTCGGGGGACCGCACTTCGCGAGAAACTTGTGAGGTGCCCAAGAAAGGTATGCTCGTGAGGCACACCACGAGCCCATCAGAGCGATAAGCATGGTGCGGTGACCAGCAAAGGTTCGTCGGGAGGAGGAAATTTCCTTCTTCGAAAAAGATG